AACGAAAAGTAAGCCCCACGCGGAAGAAGACGAAATCGATCGTATCAAATTCGAGTAATCTCTGATCCGTGCATAAATCGCGCTCAAAATTGACCCGACCATACGCCCTAACTCACAATTCTTGACAGACACACAAAATGCTATATCTCGTGAGATATATCAAAGCACGTTCCAAACGACACACTTTATTCGAGGGACGTTCTCACATTCTTTGAAAGGCCCAAGGGCTAAAGTCTGATACCGACAAGAATAAGACAAGATTCTCCAAACATGAGCCCGGATTAAGGACTTAGCCTTACGGTAATCTGGATGAAGTATCCGTCAGAGACTAGAGTCCGATCATCAAAATGGAGATCCACCGGTAACCTGAAGAAGAGCCCAACCCTAACCCCGGGCCCAAAGAAACACCGAGAAGGAATTAAGGACACCAAAATAGTCGGAAGAGCCGCACTCAACCTATGACTTTCCAGCACCTTCACAAACGCGACTGCCCAGACGTCCTCGAGCATTAGTACAACGCAACCGCCAAGAACAGCCGCTAGGAGTTATGGCTCCAAACAACATTGATCCGGCGCACTGGACTTCGTAAAGCCAGGACACCTGATCCACCTTCATTGCAAGGGCATGTATCCCACAGAGGGCAAGATTCGAGTATACATGAATACACTCAGACTCGCCGTCTTCGGGGCAGCTTGCAGTATATACGCAATTAAGGCACTACCAGTGGCGTGTAATAACCGGGCATCCTACGTCTAGCAGGATGAGCTCAGGATAAGGTCGCCATAATATTGGCCTTACCTCTGCTCCAGCTGGATGTTGGTTTAATGTACTCAGTCCAGGATAAGACCAGACACAATGCTCGATTAGTCTAAACGTTGCGAGTGATCGGATGACCGCAGGAGAGTCCGAACCTGACACCGGGCCCAAAGAAACCCCGCGAGGGAATCAAGGACACCAAGAAAGTCGGAACTCGACCGCGAGAACTCCACGATGAAGATCGATAACTTATCTACCCTCCATCGGTACGTCGTTTCATTCTTCCGCCGTCCGGATTTCCATCTTCTAAACAGTTAAGTCAACATTAACATTAAAAATGTAAAAATACCGCCAAGTATATTTTTTAACGTTTTTATCTCGAAAAAAATTGTATCAGATTTTTAAAAAATGAGACCTTTGTATCATCTTAAATATATTTATAATATAAGTTCGAAAAAGAAACTGTTGTTAAATCATAAAAAAACCTAAATCGCATCTTCAATATATAACAATCACACAAAATTATTTTGTAATTAATACATCCCAAAAAAAACTATTGTATCAAATTAAACAAACAAAATTTAAGTTATATTAACGTATACATGATTTTAAAAAAAATTTAATTTAATAAATTAAAAATATAATATTACCAAAAAAAGTGAAATCAAAATATTATTTCAAGTATATTTATTGTAATTGAATTAAAAATTAAATAAAATAATATACCTCGTAAAAAAATATTGTATCAAATTAAACAAATAAAATCCATGTTGTATTATTTTCAATGTATACGTAAAAAATAAAAACAAGAAATGTGTTCCAAACTCATAACGTCGCATCAAATCGCGGTCATTTCCAGGCTTAATTTTGCGATAATACTGAGTCACGCACGAAATCGCAGGTACGCCGCCCTTGGCCGCGCAATCTGTAAACCAGAAAACATCTGAGCCAAAGGGGAGAGTTGATTTTGGGAAAACAGCTGATCTGCTTCCGCGTCAGCTGATGATCACGTGCGTTGCCAGTGGTCGCTCCAGCACGTCCGGTCAACCGGGGTATAAAACCTCGGCTCTCGCGCCCGGTGTCGGTTTTTCTTTCTCAGTTTTTTCTCAGAAAGCTCTCGATTCTCTCGGTTTCGGTCGCTCGCGTTGCTCTGTCGCACCGTCACCTTGCCGTTCGTTCGCCGCGAACTTGCGATTACGACAGTAATTATTGTAACTCTGTTTTTTTGTTAGTTTTTTTTGTAATTGTCGAAATAAAAGTCTGTTCGCTCAATCGTCTCTCAATCTGTCGATCCAACCGTCCGCTTTCGCTTCTACCACGACGCAACAAAATGCAATAAATAGCTTAATGAGGGCTGCAGAAATTAAAAAGGGATTTTGATAACAAGTAGCAAATTACGTGACAGAAAAATTAAAGATGGGAAGAAATCTCCAGCAGCAGCATACTTGGCGCGCCCGTTTTTTATATATAACTTATGGTAATATAATAC